AGAAAGTGAGATATCCCCCAGAGTGGGAAGGCCACACCATAGTACCTTCTCCTCCAATCTCCTTTAGAGATTTTGGACACACATGCACATGTACCCAGCATGATTTTCAACCCATCAGGTCCAGGACTAAAACCTTGTAGCCACGTTAAATCCAGTATGTTAATTTCCACCACCTATTGGTCCTGGGGCATCTCTATTTTTTGCTGGCTTCTCTCTCTGTTTCCTCTTTTCAAATTTTCTCTTAGCCCTCAAAAAGTTCTCATGGATAACATTCCTCATTGTCATACTCTATGCTAATTTATGCCATGTTATTTGCTGTTGTTTCTAGACCCTGTTCCAGGCAGACAATTGCACAGCTCTCTCAGTGAGCACCTGTGTGCAGTTAGGTATTCTAACATCACCCTTCTCCTCTGTCTCTGCTCTCTGCTCAAATGACAGACCCCTTCCTAGAGTGTAGCTTCCTCCATTTCAGGGCCACAGACACAGTTGCGGAAGTCTATTACAGGTGCACATTAGTCTTCACATGTGACCACTTCTACCTGGGTCTACTTCCTGCTCTCCCACCATGATTCCATATTTCCATTGTTCTTTCTCCTTTGGAACAATGCACCTTGGTATAAATCTGCTCTGTGATGAACCTTCTCACCCACCCTACTCTGTGCTCATGACACCACAGTCATAACTCATCCCTCAGATCAGAATCACATGGATTAGAGCATCCATTTGATCTGGACTAGACGTGCTTCATGTTTGAAAATTGCCAGAGGATGGAAAACCACAAGAGGGGCTCCACACCAGACTTCCTGATTCACTTATCTCAGCAGTAGCTTTCCACTCTCAGCCCACAGAGTGTCAAAGTCCCACAAAGGAATTATCCCATGCCGACATGATTTCTCCTCTTCTCTCCTTTCCCTCTTCCCAAATCCTAATATTCTCCAAGTTCTTCCTTCATGCAACATTCCCAAATAGACCAGGAACTGATACTCTGTATGCTACCACTTTAACATCTGATGAACACTGCTCATATAATCCTCTAATGAATATGTGCATCTTGGTCTTATTTTTATGGAGAACACTACAAATCCCCGAAGGGCAGGAACCCAGTCGTAATGCTCCTTGATAGCATCCCAACAGAAGAGACAGTGATACCCACAAAATGATCTTTGTAAATGCATTTCTCATGTACTAGGGCCACACAAGGTCACCCAGGTCAAGCCATAGCCCATGTTCTAATGTCTTTACAACAACTCTAGCAAGTGTCATTAGCTCCACAGTACCCTCTCAGTAAAAATGTAATCTCTGCCTTTTGATGGTAGTGTCTTCCAAATGTCTCTCCTTATCCTAAAGACCAAACCCAAGCCATATTTTTCATTTTGAATGAGTCCTTTAATCCTCCAACTGCTCTGTCTGCCTTTCAAATTTATTTTAAACTTATACTGAATGTACATGGTCTTGAATTCTTCTTAGAAGAGGTAAGCTAGGATTTAATATATATCTAAAGTGTTTTCTAATCATCACTGATTTCTTTCTGCCCAGAATCCAAGTAACTTAAAGTCATTTATCTTGCTATTTTAACACGTTACTATTTGCAATTAATTGTCCCTTACATGTACGTATCATTTCTTTTCTATATTGCACACCTTAAAGTATAACTTTCCCATTCAGTCCCTGCTATTGGAATAGGCTGATAGGAACAACTTTCCAACTACATATTGAAGAAATGAGAAAGAAAAAAAAAAGTCTAGGTTAAAAATAAAAAAAGAAGATTCTGGAAACCCTCTATTTGAAAAGTATCCCCAAAAGTGTGCTGCTAAAAGGAACTTCTTTGATGAAGCCAAAATGATCTCAAACATACAGCTGGAAACCAGACAGCTTGTTTTTCTTGGACACTTCTCTTGCCACACCAAAATGCCAAGGTTTGGTCACCAGGGGGCACTATACACACAGTTGCCACACCTCAAGGACATTGAACCCTCTTGAAATGATGATCAACTGTTCTTATTGTAATTCATTTGTAGCCTTACTAGAGGATCAACTTAGCTAAGAATGTCATCATCTAGAAGTACAACGCTATCGATACTTGAGATATGGGGAGGAGGAATAGTGGGAAGGAATCTAAAATTCCCACACAAAATAAATCTTGTTATGTTTTCACACCTGAGGCTCATGTGGATCTTTATTCCAATCTTCCTAATGTTACTGAGGATCTAACCACAATCACTTTCCAGTTTGGGGCACTTTCCTGAGTACAGGGCCATGGTTGGCATTATACGTATGACTGCCTGTTCTAAAAGGGGAGCACAAAAGAAAAGCAAGACATTCAACTGCTTAGTGTTTCTTAAGTGGTTCTGAGAACTCAAGAAAGCTTCACTTGTCTCTTCTCATTTTTAATCCCTTTCATCATCATTTTTCCTCAAATACTGTTGAAAATATTATAAAAAACTAATACAAATAAAAAGTACAGCATAACTAGTTACATACTGACACTATATAGGTAATCTAGAGATGATTTAAAGTTTATGGAAGACTGTGTATAGGATATATACAAAGAGTACACCTTTTTATGTAAGGGACTTGTATCCATGAGGGTTCCAATGGATCTAGAACCAATCCTCCATGATACAGAGGGATGACCGCAGTTTAGATCTGTATTCTTGGCATCCCCCATTTTTAAAACTAGCCGATTTACGAAACCAGCAGTTGGCATAATGGCTATGTTGCTGAACTCCCATTTAGTCGACTGTAGTTTGAGTCCCAGACCCGGTGGCTTAAACTCATGCCAGGCTCATGTGCATGCATGCCCAAGATCCCAAGAGGAGAATGGAGGAGAAGGGATTGCAGAATGGCCATCCCCCCCTGGGAGGGTGATTTCTCGCTTTCTGTCTCTCTGTTTCTGTCTTCCTGGTGAGCGCATGTGCCCTACAGCAAAAACCTCTAAAAAAAAAAAAAAAAAAAAACTAGCTGATTTACTCAGAGGATGGCTGAATGAATAAATATGTGAGGGTACATCAAAAAGTTCAAAGAAAATGGAATTCAAGTATAAGTTTTGGTGCCAAAAAGTTGGTTTTACTATAACCTGCACTTTTAATAAGCTTTCTGAAACTCCTCCCATATAACTAAGTGAAACAGCACTTAAAGTTTTTTTCTAAGTATCTAGCACAGACTTTTTCTTAGAAGGGAAATATTCTTGCTTGATCAGTCATTTGGGAGTAGCACTCCTTTGCACAAGCAAGGAAAATTTAATCTTATTGTACTATTGGAAGGGCTGAAGCATACGTGAGGAAAGAGGGGTGCCTAGAAAATGGTGTAACACTGGCACTGGCTGAAGGAAGGAAGGTAGGGTGCAAATACCCACAAAAGAGGACACTGGTGTCGCACGAGTCTAACGGACAACCTGGAGTGCCTGTGTTGCCATAGTGTAAAATTCTCTGTACTTCTTTATCCACATTTTTGGAATTACTTGTCAAGGGAATTGGCAAAAAGGCTGAATTTATAGTCAGTAACACAAAATGTACAATATAGAAACATGTGAACATGCAGCGATCCAGAGTTAATCTTGAGATTGTATACCATAAGGAAATCTGCAGACATCTTGGGGGAGCTTGAGACATTCAGAGGGAATCAGAAAAGTGATAATACAAATAAGCTTTAGATCCATAAGGCACAAAAGACCCTGAAGACAGCTGAATTACAGAAGTAAAATTATTTTCTCTCAGTCTCCATCTATTTATACTCATCAAATTGAAAAGTGTCTTTAATGGGACCAGCAGTTGGCGTAATGGCTGTGTCGCTGGACTCCCATGTAGTTGACTATGGTTCGAGTCCCAGACCCTGTGACTTAAACTCACGCTGGGCGCATGTGTGTATGTGCCCAAGATCCCTAAAGAAGAATGGAGGAGAAGGGATTGTGGCTTGGCCATCCCCCCAAGGGGTGATTTCTTGCTTTCTGTCTCTCTGTCTCTCTTTCTGGTGAGCGCATGTGCCCTATAGCAAAAACCTCTCCAAATAAATAAATAAATAAATAAATTTAACTTAAAAAAAAGTGTCTTCAAATAAATTCATTATATTTCCTATATTAATTATTCATTATAAAAATAAATCTCTGTATATTTAAAATATCTGTAAATTTAAAATGTCAATAACTCTTCTCTAATTCTTTAATTTTATATTATTTTACTTAGTCTGTATATTTAAAATGCTAATCATTCTTTTCTGATTCTTTAATTTTATATTATTTTAATGGGCCTAGAACTGTACCAGTTTGTATGAGCATTAGAAAATACTAAATGAGGAACCAGCAGATGGCATAACGGTTACATCACTGGACTTCCACGTGGTTGACTGTGGTTCGAGTCCCAGACCCAGAGGCTTAAGACTCACACCAGGCCTGTGTACATGTGTGCTCCAAATCCCAAGAGTAGAATGGAAGAGAAGGGATTGTGATGTGGCCCTCGCCTCTAGGGAGCGATTACTTGCTTTCTGTTTCTGTCTCTCTCTGTGTCTCTGGCAAGTACACATGCCCTATAGCAAAAATTTCTCTAAAAAAAGAAAATACTAAATGAAAAGATAGTATATAACTTCTGGTATTTCACAAGAATCAAAGAAGAGTTGTTACTGGATTGAAAGTAGACTTGCAGTATAAAAACTTGTGTAGTTTACATGACTTTATAGCAAATATTAAGAAATATAACTCCAAAACTAGAATTCAATGTACTTTAAAGTAAGTATATATTAATTGTATTGTTAGGAGGCTGCGTAGATGGTGTCTTGGCTTATTAGTCATTGAATCCCCAATTTATTATATATAATATCTCAAAAAAAGAGAACTTTCTCTGAAGACTATCAACCTCTATATTTTGTATCTTACGAAAAACTACCTATTTCTTCAACCTTCTACATGAATTGACAGTCTCATCTTGGAAGAAAAATAACAAAACTGCAAGAATCTAATGTCTCCATTTTACCTCCTACCTGCCACTATTTTTGATATATATGGAAAAGAGTTAAAGTTGCTAACCCTGACAAAGTGTATACAAATATGGCAAAATTGGCAACATGTGTAATTGCAGTGATACTTGAAGGCTTTTAGATCTCTAATTTTCTGTATTATATGAACTAGCTAAGATAAACGTTGTCACTGAACTTTTTGACCAAAATTCTTTGATCAAATAATTTTAAGATATAGTGACATACCTTCGAACACGTTCCACATTGTCATCTGTTCGAAGGTACTTCTTGATATCTTCTCCTTTGCCATAGCTTGCACAGTCTTCTGGGTTGGCAAAAACCTATTCCAAATACAAGGAGCAAAACTTATTTCAAATATCAAATAACATAGGGATATTCTACCTAATACTTTATCTGCATTTTAAAAGAATAGGGCATCCAGGTAAGCCATCATAGCAGGAAAATCTGGAGCAATAAATCAAACACGGGGAAAGGAAAGAGTATCTATAGTTTAAGCCTGGATTTTTTTAAATGTTTTTTAAAATTAATTTCCATTTGTTAATATTATTTTTTAATTTTTGACCAGAGGCAGAGAGAAAGAGAAAACGAGAAAGTAAGCCACCAGGTCCAATACTCAGATTGTCATTGGCCATGTGGGAATCCAGCACCTTTAACCACCATGCCACCTGCCAGCCCCAAACCTGAATTTTTCTTGAAAATGCAAAGCATGAATAAGAACTGAATTAAAAAAAAAAAAAAACAGTGTGTCAAAATAGTGAAAGGGGGAAACAGCAGTTAGCATAATGGCTATGTCGCTGGACTCCCACGTAGTCGACCGCAGTTCGCGTCCCGGACCTGGTGGCTTAGAACTCACGCCGGGGGCGTGTGCGTGCGTGCCCAAGATCCCGAGAGGAGAATGGAGGAGAAGGGATTGCGGCGTGACCATCCCCCCTGGGGGGGTGATTTCTCGCTTTCTGTCTCTATGTCTCTGTCTGTCTGGCGAGCGCATGCACCCTATAGCGAAAATCTCTCAAAAAAAAAAAAAAAAAAGTAAAAAAAAAAAATAGTGAAAGGGAAACAAAAACAGGAAGAGGCATAATTTTTTCTTTTTTTGAGAGATTTTTGCTATAGGGCACGTGCACTCACCAGACAGACAGAGAGAGACAGAGAAACATCCCCCCCCAGGGGAATGGCCACACCACAATCCCTTCTCCTCCACTCTCCTCTCGGGATCTTGGGCACACACGCACACGCGCCCAGCGTGAGTTTAAGCCACTGGGTCCAGGACTCGAACCACGGTCGACTACGTGGGGGTCCAGCGACATAGCCATTACACTAACTGCTGGCCCCAAGAGGCATAATTCTAAGTCAACATTTACTTCTAACTACTATCGTATGGTAGTATCTTTTTCAATGACATTGACACACTTTCCCTCAAGTATCAAAGTGTAGATGGTACCTTGGTTTATTTTTCATTGAATCCCCAATTTATTATATATAATATCTACAAAAAAGGAGATATTTTTGACAAAAGGTACAAGAGAATTCAGTGGGGAAAAGAAAGTCTCTTCAGCAAGTGGTACTAGAAAAACTGGGTATTCATCTGCAGAAAAATGAAACTGTATTCATTTCTCACCATTAAAAACTCAAAATGGACCAAAGATCGAGATGTAAAACTTCACACTATAGAACTAGTAGAAAACACAGGAGAAACTCTTGGAAACATCAGAGAAGGCAAAGATTTCTTAAATAAGAATCCCAAAGCACAGACAATAATACTGAAAATAGACAAGTGTGACTACCTCAAACTAAAAACCTTGCATGGCAAAAGAAACAATAATTACAGTGAAAATTCTCTGAATGGGAGAATATATTTGCAAACTATGCCTCCAATAATGGACTAAAACCAGAATATACAATGTCAAGCATCTTACCCAAAAAAAAAATTGAAAAGATCAATTAAAAAGTGGGCAAATAAGCTGAACACACAACTCTTCAAGGAAGACATATGAACAGCCAAAAAGCTGATGGTCACCAAAGTTGGAATTAGTATGCTGAGACCCCATCAGTAATAGTCACAACCCTACTTGGGTTCATGAAGAATTAAAAATCTCCAGACTTCCATTACTTTCAATGTATTCAGAGAAATAAGGGCAGCATTTTTATATTTTCTGACATTTTACTTAAAAACAACAGCAACAAAATGACACTGAACTTGGTGGGGAAAAACTGATCATGATCATTACAGCTTAAGAGAGGTGATAAGGATATAACACAGGAGCCACAAGAATCCAATTTCTATATGTTGATGTGAATTCTTTCTGGATCACTAGTAAAGTAAAACTACATGGGAAGGCCCTGAAACCCCTTTCTCTGCTAAGACGAACGATGTCAGTAAATCTTTGGATAAGACTTTGGATATCTGTTCTTCGCGTATCTTAGAGCACAGGCCTATCCTGAAATTACGTTAATTGAAAACAAATTTTACTACAATTTTTTTTAAAAAAAGCATATAAAAAATGTTCAATGTCTCTTATTGTAAGGGAAATCAAAATCACAATGACATACCACTTAACCCTAGTCAGAACGGCTAGGATTAAAAAATACAGACTGATAAGTGCTGTGAGGCTGCAGTGAAATTCCCACCTGCACTGTAGGTGGGAACATAAATTATCAGTAGTACTGTCACTGTGGAAAACAGTATGGAAGTTCCTCAAAAAACTACAACTAGAACTACCATATGATCCAGTAGTAATTCCACTTCAGGGTATCTATCCAAAGGATAGTAAAGCACTCAGCTGGAAAAACACTTGCAAATCCATGTTGACTGTAGCATTATTCACAATTGCTAAGGCATGGAATCAATCTAAATGTCCAAGGACAGATGAATGGATTAAAAATGTGGCACATATACACTACAGACTACCCACAAAAAAATGAGACCCTGACATTTGATACAAAGTGAATGAATATAGAAGAGCCAATGCTAAGCGAAGCAAGTCAGATGATGAAAAACAGACACTGTATGTCCCTGCTTGATATATACCAAATGTTTATACTCTATGGCAGATATCATAAGACTGGAAGATAGAATAGAAGGGAAGGCAACTGTAGATACTAAGAGACAATATAAGAGAGGGTGGGCAATAGGGGGTAGGGAAGAGGAGTTGGGGGGAAAAACATGTAACAGACATACAAATGAAAAGTTACTATTGCTAATGTATATGGTAATAACTTTGACTTGACTAATATGCACTGTATTCATGCTGGAAAAGAACACTGTATACATTATAAAGATGTACGGTGATTAAATGTAAATTCAAAAAAATGTTTAAAATGATTAAAGCAAGGGATGAGAAAGGTATTTTGTACTTTGTTACAATATAGTACTTTTTTTTCTGAACTGGATAAAACTTTGGGCTAAATAATATAATGAAATTAAAGAAGGTGAACTCTATTCCTATGAGTAACAAGTACAAATTCTAGGGCATATGTTCATGTATTTCTTCCTGTAATTATTATGCTGTTTGAAATTATTTCCCTATCCCTTGAAATTTAAAATATGCATTTAAAAAATATTTAAGTATGTCCCACTGTTTAATAATTTATAATAAAGATAAACACAAACTATAAAATTAGTCTTAATTTAAGCTTAAAATATCTCATAAATATTACAATTTTTTTCTCAGTATGATATGAGCATTTAAAGATAGTGATGAGAACTGCAGAGTAAGGGATATGAGAAAGTATTGGCTCTTAGGGCATCAGAGTGCCCCATAAGAAATGCCTGACACCTACTAGATTTCATATATTCACACACACACACACACACACACACACACACACACACACACACACGTGGATTTAAATATATACCATATATGTATGCATATATGCATACACATATATGTGTATATGCGCATATACATGTATGTGTGTATGCATACATACATGGCACATATTTAAATCCAAATCTGATGCACTTTCCCTTGTAATACATGTATTTTATTATATATTATATATTATATATACATACATTATTATACATTATCTATATATGATATATAATATTCACTATGTAATATAAATATTCACGATGTAAGATATACTCTATAACATATATAGTATATATAATAGATGTGATTAGTATATATTTTGTTCTATATTATATAATATAGTATCTTATTATATGTTCCATATATACTATATATGATATATATAATATTGGCTATTTTGGAAAAAAAAATCATGACATATTTTTTCTGTTTTTCTATGTAAAAATGCATCATGACTTTTCCAACAACCCAATAGATACATAAAATATAATAGTATATATTATATAAAGTATATATTGTATATAATACAATAAATAACACATTTCTAATATAATATACTCCATAATATATAATAAAATAAATGTATTGCAAGGGAAAGTGCATCATCCAATTTGGGTTTAAATCAATCTCAGTCTGAATCTTACTTCACTATTTATTGGTATGTAATCTTGGATAAGCCACTGCTATGGATTCAATGTGTCACCACGAAAAGCCTATGTTGAAGCCTAACCTTCAAAGTGATAGTATTGAAAGGTGGGCTTTTTGGAAGGCAATCAGGTCCTGAGGGTACAGCCCTCATGATTGCGATCAGCGCCCTCACTAGAAAAGAGACAGGTAAGAGCTTGCCTCTTCCACTCTCTCTCTACATTCTCTATGTGAGGATACAATGAGGAACAGCCATCTAATAAGGAACTGGACTCTACTAGATATTAAATCTGTCATTATCCTGATTTTGACTTGGCCCCTCCAGAACCGTGAAAAATAAATGCTGTTTCTGTCATCCAGTTTATGGTATCTGCAAACGACAGCCCAAACTGATTAAGACAGCTACTTCACCCTTCTGTCTTTCAGTTGGGCTTCTAAAAATGGAGATGCTTTATTTCCCATGACAGTGGTGAGTAACAACAATGTAAAATGATTCAGTCCTCTAGTACATGTAAGATGCATAGTGACTTCTGGCAACTCACGAATTTAAATTCCTTTATTTTTTCTGTACAACAAAGCACATTTCCTTAATGTCATTCCTATTCTTTTTCTTCAAGGTTTTTGCCATAAGGTATGTGTGCTTGCCAAAGGCAGAGAGAGAATGTGAGAGGGAAAGTGAGAGATCACCCCCCATGGGGCAAAGGCTACACCACAATCTCTTCTCCACTATCCTCCTGGGACTTTGGACATGTATGCACATGTGCCTGGCATGAATTTCAAGCAGCAAGGTCTGGGACTTGAACAATGGTCAGCCATGTGGGAGTCCAGGCACCTTAACTACCACGCCACCTGCTGGCCCCAATGTCATACCTTTTCTAAAGTATAGCACAGCCTGGACCTGGTGGGAGACAGTCACTCAGTGGACTGCTGCTTCAACACACTGTCTCACCAGAAAATTAAACATGTGGATACATGTCCTCATTACATGCAAATATCCTTCCACTATACTTCTAGATGGTAACAAGGAGATAAGGTAGAAAGAACTATGAGCTCTAGATAAAAGCAAAGCTCTGGAGAACAGAAGTTTGTAACAGGTATTAAGAGAGAAATGGGTGGTTTGCAAATGTTTCTGAATAGATTCAGAGGTCAAATCAATGAAAATGTTTCTAATTATGTTAAAGCAGCCTTGCTCTTCACCTCTCAGTGTGTCATAAGCCCTACCAGAATACAGAATATGTGCTTTAAGCCTTTCTGTCTCCTTCCCATGCCACCAGTTGTTTTTTTAAGTCATTATTTAGGGTAATGTTGGGTAGAACACCATCTTCCTAAATCAGAAGTATACAAAACTCAAATGGTTTATCCCAATCAAAAGAGGCTCTGTTGTGGGAGTAATAACTCTACTTCTCCAGCCAGCCAGTGGCAGGAAGGAAAGTGAGAAATCACCCCCATGGGGGAAAGGCTACACCACAATCTCTTCTCCACTATTCTCCTGGGACTTTGGACATGTATGCACATGTGCCTGGCATGAATTTCAAGAAGCAAGGTCTGGGACTTGAACAATGGTCAGCCATGTGGGAGTCCAGGCACCTTAACTACCACGCCACCTGCTGGCCCCAATGTCATACCTTTTCTAAAGTATAGCACAGCCTGGACCTGGTGGGAGACAGTCACTCAGTGGACTGCTGCTTCAACACACTGTCTCACCAGAGAACTAAACATGTGGGTACATGTCCTCATTAAATGCAAATACCCTTCTATTATACTTCTAGATGCTAACAAGGAGATAAGGTAGAAAGAACTATGAGCTCTAGACAAAAGCAAAGCTCTGGAGAACAGAAGTTTGTAACAGGTATTAAGAGAGAAATGGGTGGTTTGCAAATGTTTCTGAATATATTCAGAGGTCAAATCAATGAAAATGTTTCTAATTATGTTAAAGCAGCCTTGCTCTTCACCTCTCAGTGTGTCATAAGCCCTACCAGAATACAAAATATGTGCTTTAAGCCTTTCTGTCTCCTTCCCATGCCACCAGTTGTTTTTTTAAGTCATTATTTAGGGTAATGTTGGGTAGAACACCATCTTCCTAAATCAGAAGTATACAAAACTCAAATGGTTTATCCCAATCAAAAGAGGCTCTGCTGTGGGAGTAATAACTCCACTTCTCCAGCCAGCCAGTGGCAGTAAGATAGCTGGGTCCACATGGCTGACTGTGTGGCTGGAGTCTGGACCTGGTGGCTTGAAAACATGACAAGTAAGTGTGTGAACGTGCCCAAACTCCTGAAGGAAAAATAGAGAAAGAATTATGGCATGATTATCCCCCAATAGAAGGGCTTCCTTACTCTTTCTCTTTCTCTCTCTCTCTCTCTCCAGTGAGTACACGCACCCTCTGGTAAGCTAAAGTACATATATATTCTCAATCATTTCTTTTTTTTTCCCCTCAAAAACATATCTTTGACCAGTAACAGAGCCAAAAACAACAGTTAATTGTCTGGGAAATGACTACATTCTAAATTATACCCGCAAAATTAACTACAAACTCATAGAAAGCTTCCTAGAAAATTTGATACTCCAGAAATCTCACCTGCTAAGAAGAATGACAAAAGGTAAAAGCCACAATAAAGAAAGTATTTAAAAACTATTAGGTCATTAGGAAAGTTATGAGTATTTTTCTGTTTTCTATGCAAAAATCCATCCTGACTTTTCTTTTTTTGAAAGGTTTTTGCTATAGGGCGTGTGCACTCATCAGAAAGACAGAGAGAGACAGAGAAACAGAAAGCGAGAAATCACCCTCTCAGGGGGGATGGCCATGCCGCAATCCCTTCTCCTGCATTCTCCTCTCAGGATCTTGGGCACGCACACACATGCGCCCGCCCAGCGTGAGTTTAAGCCACCAGGTCCAGGACTCGAATTGCGGTCAACTACATGGGAATTCAGCAACATAGCCATTATGCTAACTGCTGGTCCCCCATCCTGACTTTTCTGATGACCCAATAATTTCTCAAGAAAAGCACCACTGTACCAATATACCAGATCCCTCTGTACCAAATGATTATTTCACTTAACAGCATTAAACAGTGTGCTACTGTTTAAAAAAAAAAAAGTAAACTAGAGAAATTGCATTCTAGAATTCCATCTCTTAAAAGTAAGAAAATATTATCTATTATCTTCAGATCTCTTACCTTTCTCGTCATTCTGTAGAACGCAGTTGTAGTGCTCATCAACATCATTTTTAGAAGAATAATTGTTGTATAAGAAGCAAAAGCCGTGAACACTTCATCTTCCATGAGCTGGTTGAGGCCAACCATTGTTTCAACCTTAGTTTGGAATCTTAAAAATGTTTGACAAGATGGGAAAAAACAGACATGAATAACCAAAATAACTTTATAAATTTATAATCACTTGGCATTCTTATATTACAACATTAACTGTACTGTGCTTTTATTATTATTATTATTTTTTTTTTTTTTTGGAGAGGATTTTGCTATATCTAGGGTGCGTGTGCTCGCCAGCCATACAGAGAGACAGCAAACGAGAAATCACGCCCCTGGGGTGGGGGAGATGGCCACACCACAATTCCTTCTCCTCCATTCTCCTCTTGGGATCTTGGGCACGCGCGCGCGCACACACACACACACACACACACCCGGCATGAGTTTAAGCTGCCAGGTCCGGGACTCAAACTGTAGTTGACTACATGAGAGTCCAGTGACATAGTCATCATGCCAACTGCTGGCCCCCTATACTGTTCTTAAAAACATCTTGGGCTATTTACAGGAGAAGTGATCATTTAATTAAAAAAAATTAAAATAAACATGTTTTCTCTGGTTTTATATTATTAAGCTTGAAGACATCAAACAAGTACTGTATGAAAATGGAGGGATTATTATAAGCAAAAATAGCCAAAATGCCTTGAATATAGCTTAAAATCACACATGTATACCAAGATGAACCAGAAGTTGAATGCAAAAGACTAAAGCTCATGGATTGATCGCTTTGAAACATCAAACTACGTACACACTAGTACCATTGATGTTTTATTAGAAATGCCTAAGTTCCAATATATGTCCTGATTTAGAAACCCAGTTTAGCATTTTTCATCATTTTAATAGTATTCAAGCTCTCAGGCTCTAGGGTTTAAATTCCAGTCCCAACATTGAGTTATTAACCTTGCTTAAGGGATTTCATCTCTGTGAGACTAAACATTGTCATTTACAAGATAGGAACAGTAACCAAAAACAAATGATGAAAAGCTATTTGGTAATGAGGATATGGATAGTAATGTCTTTGTCTTGACGGATATGCATGGTATTCCTTCTGGAAAAAGAAATGTAATACACTGTAAAGATATATGTGATTCAATGTAATGTAAGCAAGATTATGATAATAATAAATAAAGGTTTAAAAAAAGACAGGAACAGTAACGGCTCTGAACTTACTGAGTTGTCCGATAGAGAACATGTAAAAAATACTTAGCATATTACTTGGCCTTAAAAAAGGAAAAAAAAAAAAAACCCTCAATAACATTTATGACATCCGTCTCAGGATTCTCATTAGCAGCATGATTGTGGTCATCATTAATACCAACACAGGTGAAGGGAAGCATGGTAACAGACACATCAAAATAATAGTCTTGTATAAATGCAAGACAAGGACTGGGCATTATGGCATGTTCATAGAAGGAATAAAGCATGGAGGGTTAGTGTTTTTTTTTTTTTTTTGGAGAGGTTTTTGCTATAGGGCACGTGCGCTTGCCAGACAGAGACAGAGAGACAGAAAGCAAGAAATCACCCCCCGGGAGGGATGGCCATGCCGCAATCCCTTCTCCTCCACTCTCCTCTTGGGATCTTGGGCAAGCACACACAGTGAGTTTTAAGCCACCGGGTCTGGGATGAGAACCACGGTTGACTACATGGGAGTTCAGCGACATAGCCATTATGCTAACTGCTGGTCCCAATGGAGGGTTAGTTTTATGTGACTCTTCAGGTCATTTCACATTTCAACCATAAGTTGTCAAAAGTAAGTCGAATGCAATTGAGTCTGGAGGAAGAAGTATGATTGGGAATGCGCTCAGGAGGAAAGCTAAGGCACACTAGTGATACTGATGTCCAAAAGAATAGGAATTTGTGGCAAGGCTTAAAACTTAAACTCCTTGTCCTATTTGGTAGTCATTCTTTACACCCTCCTATTGTTCTTGAATTAGCCCTACAAATCTGCTTCTTTCTCTCTTCCACAAAAACAGACATCTTTTCTCATCTGCAAGCACAGATGCAATGTAACTTGCTAGATAATATCTGTTCCTGCCCTTAAAATTCAACTCTGGGCCAGGCCTTTGGCCTGGTGGTTAAGGGAGGTATATCCCACATGGCCAGCCATGTAGTTCAAATTTGGACTGTAGAGACTTGAAAAATATGCCAGGTGCATGTATGTGTATGCTCAAAATCCCAACAGGATGAAGAAATGTTGAAGAAGTGATTGAAGTGTGACCACGCCCCATTAGGGGGTACTTTCTCCCTCTCTCTTTCCTATTGTCTCCCTCTGGCAAGTATTTAATTTAATGCAGGTGGCATGGAGTTTGAGGTGCTTGACTACACATGGCTGACCGTGGTTCACATCCTGGACCTGGTGGCTTAAAACTCACTCTGGATATGAGTACATGCATGCCTAAAATCCCAAGAGAAGAAACTGCAGTGTGGCTATTCCTCCTAGGTGTGATTTCTCAAATTCTCTGTTTCTCTGGCAAGCACATGCATCCTGTGGCAAAAATCTCTCTAAAATAAAAATTAAAAAATAAGTAAATTCAACCCCTTCCTATAATCTTATTAGACTAACATCTATCAGATTCTGATCACTGTCCATCAGTAAGTTATAAATCCACACACATGGAGACTTCAAAAAGTTAACGGAAAAAAAGGAATTGAAGTATTTGTTTACTTTGGTGTAAAAAAAGCTGACATCCATGCATAATTTTTTTTCACAATATGCATTTTCTATTAACTTTTTTGGAGACCCTGTGTATATATTCCTATATTTTGTTACTGGTCATATGGGTGACTATATTGCTATTAAATATTACATAATGCCTAGCCTCAGTAGCACAGTCAGCAGCCTACTGAACTGCAGTGCTGGAAGCCACATGGTCAACTGCAGGTGTAGATCCACAATTGACCCGAAACATATCAAGTATATGCACCTGTGGACAGAAGTCTGACTACTTTTCCTATTTTTCCAAAATCTTTTCAAAAAGGACTGGGGGGAACCAGCAGTTAGCGTAATGGCTATGTCGCTGGACTCCCACATAGTGGACCGCGGTTCGTGTCCCGGACCCGGTGGCTTAAAACTCACGCTGGGCGCGTGTGCATGCGTGCCCAAGATCTCGAGAGGAGAATGGAGGAGAAGGGATTGCGGTGTGACCATCCCCCCTGGGGGGGTGATTTCTCGCTTTCTGTCTCTATGTCTCTCTCTGTCTGTCTGGCGAGCACATGTGCCCTATAGTGAAAATCTCTCAAAAAAAAAAAAAAAAGGGACTGGGGAAGTCATGCCAAAATATTAACAGACCATTTATTTTCTATTAACAGAATTGAATTCTTCCTACCTCCTGTTCCTGGCATAGTATCTTTGACATGTATATTTCAACCGATTACAGTATATTCTTTTGCTTATCTCTTCCCAAGACACAGAACTTCCCTTTTCCTTGAGATGTAGATTAAGCCTTTCTTTAACTAAGACACAGATCTTCCCTTCCAATCACCAACCTAAGAATTGTGGAACCCACCTATAACCTACAAACCCCCACTTCTATATGTCCCCCTTTTTGGGCCAGACCAATGGAAAATCTTTTCACTAAATGTTGTCTGTCAATCTCAAAAACAAATAAAAGGAACCTCTGTACGTGATCACCCCGAGAAAGGCATGTATGCCTCTTCTCCGGGCCTAGGTCACTCACAGTTGGCTTGGAAATAAACCACATTAATTATTAATTTTACACTTGGTTATTTTTTCTGTTGACACACCCAAGATCCTGAGTAGCTGGAGGATTAGAGGAAGGGGATCATGGCATGACAAGACCTTTTTGAGGGTGCACCCTCTCCCTCTCTTTCTCATACTTACATGTGCTATCCGATGATTAAAAAAAGTGAAACTAGACGTGATACAAACCACACACATACATATTTAATTTAATAAGTGTTGGCTATGTGTCCAATTACACCTATACTTTATGTACAATAGTGTACATAATCTTTGTAACTATATTATAACTCTTATAACTATATTCATTTCACAGAGGAAGAAAATGGGAACTAGAGATGTGAAGATGTCAAGCTGGGATGGAGCCCAGGTCTTCGACCTCTCAACCATACACTAACCACACTACACTATGTGCTTTAAGACACTTGCCTAATTTTGCTTCAACTGCTTCATTCTGTTTCATTCTGATTCAACTAATGTTGACTGAACACCTACTCTGTACTCTGCAGCTAGGTAACCCTGACATCTCTCATTTCTCTTTTTTCAATTTTGCCATGAAGCGGGTATAATATACAAGGTATACTTCATGTTATACAGATAAAGAAATCAAAGATCCCTAGGTAAACCCCCATTTTTGTCTACTTAGCCTAAAAATGGAATCCTTTGATTTAGGCAAATAGGAACTCTACATTCCAGTTTAAAAAAATAAAAATCCCACTAATGTTTGCAAATGAATCCGTCTCCACCAATCCATATACCTGAAAATAGTATGTCACATTAGTTCTATTGCCAGGTAATGCTTTGTTAACATTTAGTATAATATTGAAGGCATGAAAGTCTCAAATAAACTGCACTATCCTTCAGAACTCATATAAAAATAATTAGCGTAAGACAGAATCTCTAGGGGCCAGTGGGTGGCATGGCGGGTTAGGGTGCTGGATTCACACAAGGTTGACATCAGTTTGCATCCTGGACCTGGTGACTTATTTTCTCATTTTTCCCCTCCCTCTCTCTGTGTGTCTCTCTGTCTCTCTCTGGTGAGCACACATCCCCTATAAACAAATTTTAAAATAATAATAAATAAAATTAAATTAAGATATATTTTTCAAAGACAGAATCTCTAAGTCTCACACCTCTAAACAGAAATCTAAAGAAACACAGCAGGGATGTTAATTTAAGTTAAAAGCTTATCAAGTAGAAAAAGTTACTTAATAATTTCAAAACCAAAACAATCCCTACTAATGTGCCCAGAACGGTTTATTTAGCGATTAAGCAGGTCAGAGAACTTCTTTTCCCTCAGTGAAAACTGGTATTGAAGGAGTTGAGAAAACATGGGAGTCTCCCAAAACTATTGGTGGGAAAGGCAGACAAAGTTGTCAGTCACTGGGGAAAAGGGAAATGGGAGGCTTTAAAAATAGAAATGTAAACAGAAAGCACAATGCAAAGACAGTTTCTCAGTCACCAAGAATGTGGCCCAACTCCACAAGGCTATGGTTTTGGGAGATGGGCCAAACCCTATTAGTGTGTGAACTACCTCTCTTGGACAATATCTTCACTTCCCAGATACCTGAGGGTCAAGTGATGCACAGTGAAAGTAAGAATAGTAAGAAATAAGAGTCATTTAGAGTGCAAAGACCATGCTTATTTGGGACTTTCATCCATTCTCGCTGCGCCCCGCACCCCCCCACACACACAGTGATCTGTCAATAAACTGTCATGAGCTTGCTCCTCAAAACTCAAGACATTATCATGACTAGACACAGCAGTCCAGTGAACACTCACTGAAAACTTTTTACCAGGAAAGACTACTAGGGAGGAGAAGAACAATACGGTAATAATAATACATAAAAGGATAAAATGTTAGATAATTTGAGTATTCTAGGAATGAGGTCAAAATAATCTAAGAAAAGTAGAGGAAAATATGAAGCTTGGTTAGGAATTATAGAAAACAAATGATTACAGGGCTGGCCCCATGGCCTAGTGGTTAAGGGAGCTGGATACCACATGGCTAACCATGCAGTTCAAAAAACACACTGGCTTGAAAGACATACCAGGCACATGTACATGTGTGCCCCAAATACTGTCGAGGTAGAGAGATGAAGAGGGGACTGTAGTGTGAGCATGCCCTACTGTGGGGAGGGAGTACTTTCTTCCTCAACCTCTCATCTCACTCTCTGGCAAGCACATCACCTTCTGGCAAATTTTTTAAAAGAAAGAGAAAATAAATTATTACAATAGTAAATTATATTTGCACAATGGTTATTCATTAACTATCCATTCACTGGGTGGCACTGTAATGAATATCTCCATCTATCTCCTCAGAGACTGGGGCTCACTTCCCTAATGAAGAGATGAGTACATTTCTTTTTCTGCCATAGGGTATGTGCCCTCATCAAAGAGAGACAGAGAGAAACAATGAGAGGGAAAGTGAGAAATTACCCCCCTCCCCAGAGGGGTGGCCACACCACAGGTCCTTCTCCATTCTCCTCACAGGATTTTAGGCACACATGCACAAGCACCTGGTGTGATTTTCAAGACTTGAACCATGGTTGGCCATGTGGGAGTCAGTGACTTAACTGCCTTGCCCCCTGCTGGCCCTGGTGAATTCATTTTAAGAGGACACAGGGTAGAGCGTTGAGTTCACACAAACACTGCAGTCAGGTAGATCTCACTTGTACCACTTGCTAGGTGTTATAATTTAATTCTCCCAGGGCCTAGTGACCATACATCTATAGCAAGGTTAATGACAGCTCCTGGCTCTCATGAGCATTGAATGGGTGGAATGTCAAGTGCTTAGAAAAGCAATGGGACCTGAAATTGGTATTAAGTGTTTGGTAAATAAAATAGCTTGTACCTGGGTGTTGTTCTAGGTACTGAGGATACAATTTCAGAGTTTTCAAAAGCTTTTGCATACTTGGTCTCTCTTGATCTGAAAATCCCTAAGGCAGTCAGGGCAAGTAATATTTTCCTCTACCTTTAAATCTATACAGAAACCACGAGTGGTACAGTGAATAATATGACCCAAAGTCACAGCAAAGGGACCAAGAGTGGAATTCAGTTTTCTCAGCAATTTAACTGGTAGGTTATCCACCATCCAGGCTGAAGAATTCCAGATAGCTCTTGTCTTTTGGAGTTTTCCTGTCTAATTCCACCCCTGCATTGTTCCCACCCCCCACCCCGCCCCCCTACAGAACCTATCATAGAAGAATCATCATCTCTTGGTTGAGTAACACCCCCCTTTCCCTTTTAGGCTCTGGGCCAAAAAGAGCAAAGTTCTGTTCTTGTCAGGATTAACTGGCCTCTCCATATCAATATTGCGAAACACCCAGAAATTCTGGACAAACATTCCTAAGACCATGACTCTGCAATTTTGTACCTACTGAAACTAACAAACATACACAGGAGATCAAGAAAAACTGCAATTCTATGCCATGTTGCTATTTATCAGTTGGAGAATTTCCTGAAGGGACTGTGGCAGCTGCAGATTCCGCTCCTATGCATCTCATGAAAAGGAGGCTTCTGATCCCAGGAGCTAGAAGGAAAAAGCTGGAGGCTGTGGGAAGACACACTGGGGTGAGAAGTGCTTTGGCAGGACTGAACTCCCTTTGGAGTCTCAGGGGTTTAAAAACTCCACTCTAAAACTAACCCTTTAAAAAATATTAGTCATCTGTCTTATGAATACTATTTATTTGGACTGACATGGCCATTTTTTTTTTTTTGGAGAGGTTTTTGCTACAGGGTGCGTGCCCTTGCCAGAGAGACTGAGAGATAGAAAGTGGGGGTGGGGGGGATGGCCACACAGCAATCCCTTCTCCTCCATTCTCCTCTTGGGATCCTGGGCACGCACGCACATGCGCCCGGCGAGAGTTTAAGCCACCAGGTCCAGGACTCGAACTGTGGTCAACTACATGGGAGTTCAGTGACATAGCCATTACTCTAACTGCTGGTCCCTATTTTTTTTTAATGACAGAAGACAGTCTTCTTTTTATGGAAACAGCAGGGGACAACAAAACCCAGCACTACCCAATTCCCAGGTGAGCATGCTTCCAGGGCATGCACAAGGTGGGTGTTAACCTGGGATTCCCAGCAAGCCAACCTTACTCTCTCCCTACACTTAAACAATGCTGTTAGCTGGAGCAGTTAACCACAGACACACAACAGTGATTGATTAAAAAACCAGGTGGCCAACATTAGGTGAGAAAGCAGGAAGAAAAGAAATGTGGTCAGACCACCAACAGGCCTGTGGGTTATTTTGCGTGAAGCAGTAGACTGGGAGATGTGCATGGACCCTTCCCTCCACCATCCAATCCAACCATATTCATAATACCGGACACCTGAACTTCCAAGAAGCCATTCTCTTTGTTACTCCTTCCACGTGGCTCCCTGAGAATCACTCTCTTCCCTCTCCCTCCACGTGGCTCCCTCCTCCAGTCTGGTGGAGGAGTGAGATGATCCACTCGGGTAAACTAGCACTTGAGATCCCCTCCCAAGGAGTTTCATCCCTTGTTCCAATCATCTGGCTAGAATTCTATCACATAACATAGTAATATAACCCACATCGTTCTGCACTGTTATAATTGTATTGGAATGCAATAATATTTATTATTATTTTTAAACCGGCTGATATTTCTGTTGCCTAAAATGGATGGAGAAGAGCAAACCGGTCTTTCAACAGGTACAAAGGCTTTATATCCCTGAAATCAAAGCCGCGCAGGATTTTACACACTTGGAGTGAACAAAAGTTACTTAACCTACAGCGACTTCCAACATGACAACTAGCACGTACTCCCCAAAAGTTCAAGGAACTTTCAAAGAGCAAGTTCACTTTGGCTCTCAAAAAGCAAAGAAACCATCATTCTCTCAAGTTTCATTCTAGGAGTTGAAAAAATGGGGAAACTTACCTACAAGGGTACAGGAACACAATTCCCTTTCAGGAGCGATCGACTGAAAAACAAGCGTTTAGGGATTTGAATGGAGCAAAAGAACTTTCAGGCAGGCAGAGACCCCGCAAATCTCAGACCTCCACCCGCTTTCCCCTTCCAACCCGTACCCTCTCCCTCCCTCCGCTTCTCCTCCGCCTGCGGCACCTGCGGAGAGCCCGAGCAGCAGGACTGGA